CTGTAGCGGGGAAGCAGGTGAGGAACCAAGTGGAGAATATCAGTAAGGATGTTGTTGGTCACGAAGGAGAAGGGCAGCCCACCACTAAGGATAAGGGAAAAAATATTGTTGAGGAGGTTCCCAAGAAGAGACACTCATTTTTTTCTACCGGAGCAGGGGTTTGATGGCTAGCCTACAGCCACAATCCGAAATCCTAGATGGGGAAAAATTAATGGTGGCCTCTATAGCTATGGCCAGAGGGGGACAGAAGATGCCAATTGGCCTGAGAATGGTGGGGGTGGAAAAGTATTTCTTGATCCCTAGCTCCTCATATAGGTCCCCGACGTTCTTGTTGTCGAACTATTGCCCATTATCAGAAACAATCGAATGGGGATCCCAAACCTACAAATGATATTCTTCCATTAGAATTTGGAAGTGTTTGCTCCTGTAATCTTCGAAATGGGTTCAGCCTCCACCTACTTGGTAAAATAATCAATGGTGACAATTGTGAAGCTGGCACTGCCCCTTCCTTTTGGTTGAAGCTCTATGAGGTCAATTCCCCACTTGAAAAAGGCCAAGGGCTGGGGACAATGCTTAATTCCTAGGAGGGTTGTATTTGTATTGTCGCTAAACACTGATATTTGTCACACCTTCTGACGAACTGTTGTACATCATTTTTTAAGGTAGGCTAGTAGTATCCCTGCCTCAGCACCTTTTGTGCCAAAGCCCATCCTCAAGCATGGTTGCCACAAATCCTTTCATGAATTTCTTGAAGTACATAGTTGGCTTGTTCGCCACCTATGCACCGAATGAGAGTTGGGAGAAACATCGCTTGTATAACACATCATCCAGAAAGACAAAGTGTGTAGTTCACCTTCTGAGCTTCTATGCTTACTCTTTGTCAGAAGGAAATATTTGATCTTTGAGAAATGCTATAATAGGTTGCATCCATGGGGGAGTGTCATTGACCCGCATCACCTCTTCACTTTTACAAGTGGAGGGTCTTGAACGATGTTCTATAAGCACAATAGCAAAAAGTTCAGAATCCTTGCTCCTTGCCAACTTTGAAAGAGCCACGGCATGAGCATTTTCCATGCATGGGATATGTGCAAATTTGAACCTTTCAAAGGTTGGGACAACTTCCGTCACCAATTTCAAATACGCGCCCATACTCTTATCCATGGCTGAAAAACTGCCATTAACCTCATGTACTACCAACCAGGAATCACTGCTGATAGTTAGCCTTTTCACTTGCATTTTTCTAGCCAATATGAGACCAGCTAGAAGGGCCTCGTATTCTGCAGCATTATTAATAGCCTTAAATACAAATCTCATATCACAATTAAGCTTCTGCCCTTCTTAGCTGACTAGAACTACCCCCGCCCTGGATCGTGTGTCCCCAGAGGAACCATCAACAAACAGGTCCCAAGTGGGACGTTTGGCAGGTTCCATTTCCTCTCTCATTTCTGGAATATATGCCACGAAATCTGCCTAGACTTGGCCTTTAATAGCAACTCTTGGCTTGAACACAATATCTAACTCACTGAGTTCTATAGCCCATTTTGATAAGTGTAGTTTTTACACTTATTCAAGGCTCTAATCTTAATTTTTTATTGTCTATTGAATAAAATTTTACCTAATTTATGTTATATTGTATTTTGTAGGTAAAACTTTATGTTTAATGAAGAAATGAAGAAAAGAATACAAAATGTCAAAAAAAGGCAAAATCCAAAGTACGAGGACTTGAAAGCAAGAACAGAAATTGGGCTTCTAAAAACAAACACAATGGGCTGGCTGAATTAGAGGATATTATAGGGACATGCATACAGGGGCTGCAAGAGAGAGATATATATACACACAATTGCGACTGCACATATACAAAGTGGGAGAGTATATATATACACACACATACAGATAGAGAAATTAGAGAGAAAGCGGCTGCTTTTATGGAAGACAATATATATATATATACACACTCACAGGAGAAAACAGAGAGAAAGAAAAAGGAAAGAAAAGAGGAGAAGAATAGGTCAAACATTACAGCTGGGAGATAAAAAAGAGGGGCTGAAATTAAGAAATTTGATACACATTGAGCAGAAAAATGCAGCTTCTGGGGGAAAATAGGGGCTGTTGCTTTTATATATTCTAGTGTGGATCGTACGTTGTACGATAACCGTTATAAGTTTATAAGAAATGTCATTATGATGATTATCTATTTGAAGATACGTATATATTAGTTATAACATCCTCGAACCGCTATACCCAGAAAAAGTAAAAATTACAAACTCGGTGCAAATAAGCTGTAAAAATAGCACATGCAAATTAGAAATCGAAATCCTATGGTTTTAGTTATGTAGTGCTCGTACATAAGAAGACAAAATTAATGCTCGATAACAAGTAAACGTGAAACATAAAGAAGGAAAATGTACAATTCATGTAAGGGTCCAACTTCCATTGTTGGGACAGACTTTGTACACCATTAACATTGGGATGCCATGGCTCGCAAGTTCGAATACACACGTGTCACCTATTTCAAGTTGTTTCTCTCTTACGTAGTCTGTCCACCCCACGCGCACATCACCATTTGTTCTTAGATTTGTTTGCATTGGCCAATTGAGGTGTGAATGATCATGGATTTGAACATTCCGGACAATTTTTTGTAGATGTAATCGAGCGAAAGCCCCAGGTACATACTACTAAATAAATTCACAAATCTATAAATAGCAAAATTTAGAATTAGGTGAGAGCAATGAATATGAAAAATGGTTCATACTTATAAAGCAAGAATGACATAGTTTACAAAAGATTTAACTCAAAGAGGAGCTTACAATTTTTCGATGACCATCTCGATGAGCCTCTAATGTTACTCAGAAAATAGGATTGCCATTAGGTGAAATCTCAACCTCAAATGTATCAGATTCATAAGCCACTTCTACGCCTAAATTCTCAAATATTGAAACATTGAAAGTAGAATTTCAGTTGTATTCAAAGATGATAACATAACCATTTTGTAACTTATGGTGGTCAAAGAATTGTGACCATCCATCAGCAAGATACACGTTATCATCAACCCTTTCCAATTGTATGTTGCAAATAATTTCATCATAAGCGATCAAATGTATTGTATCACTAAAGTCATGTCCTGAGCGACATACAAAAGATCTAGGAAGCGACTGTAAGAGAAAAAAGAAAAAAAGTTTCATAAAAAAGTTATTTACTTTATATACAATTTCATTAACAATGAATAAATGTTAACAAATAGATTATTTTAAGACTTACCAAGCGAACATTATGGCCCAATGAAGGTGTTATTACTTGAATGAAATGGTGTGGTATATCACTTCTGCTTGACATAATATTTCTACTACAAAGAAAACAAATAAGCATCTACGTTAATTTTTTAGCTAGAAGAATAATTGTTAAGACTTAGCGAACAAATCTATCTCTTAATTGAAGCACTTCTTGCTAGTGAAGTGCTATCATCATTTTCATTAAATTCGTGATAGATCATATTAAATGTTTTTTAGTACTCAACTCGATCCACCACTACATGAAATAAGTTTAGATATATTATTAGGCCATACTCTATTATTAAAAGCAGCATGTTATCATTGATGAAAACATATTAAAATCTATTATGTGTATTTTCAATCTGAAAAGTATAAGGAATAAGATCAAAACTAAAAATACAATTATTTAAAAACATCCATCAACTGAAAAATAATTTTGTAAATATCTAATTTTGTCTGATTTTGTTTAATCTGAAATCACAAAATGATTGGGCTGCTGGTGGACATTTAATTTACGTTAGGTTAGCTAATTTCTCTTGAGGAATCCAATTGGGTAATTACTAAGATGATGTTTCGACTCCTATATATCACTTAATTGAGTGGAGCATCCTCTATTTTTTTAATTTCACAAATAACAAAATGATGATACCCCTATAAAAAAAAATCTTGCAGACCTAGAAGCATAGAGTAAAATTGAAGCTCCATACCTTCTATTCACAGAAAAATCTTACTTACCAAAAAACCTTGTTTCACTAATTTTTGTCGTTTGATCTTTGATGGAAGCTTCAAACCTCTGCAAAAGGAAAAAAAAAAGTAAAGGGTTAGAATTTCTAGGATGGTTAGAGATCATAATCCTTTCCCTAAATTTGAAATATGGAACCAAGTTAAAACCCTAGAAATTTATTTCTCCTTTTACCTTTCGTTTTCCTTTCTTTTTTGTTCTTTGTTTTCTCTCTTCAACTTCGATTTCTACCTTCCAACTTCGTGTTTTGTGTGGAGGGTATATGAATAAATGACCCAAATAAAAAGCCATAATTCCAAAATAACCTT